CCTTAGTGTGAGGATTCTGGGGATCCTGGGCATATATGAAGCCATTATCACTGGATGGTGATGAACCTGTAAGAGACTTGGTGGCCATTGCATAGCCAGTTACACGTGATCAGAGAGCCACTGCATACGTAAAGATCCCTGCCAGATGAAGACCTCTTCATGGGTTTCGAGGGCATTATTAGCTTAACTCTGTGTCAACAAGGAACAAGTGGGAGACATCCAATCATGGCCACGTTGAGTGGGGACCGCTTGTGTCTTGTGTGCCGCCGCGTGGAATATCTAGTTATGAAGGAGATGGTCAGAGATGAAAGGACAGAGGCGAGAAGACAGGTGCCTCCACCGTCACCCATCACAACTTCACTCTGTTGATTCCACCTGCCCCCACTCCCAGAACTCACTCTGCCTTTGGCTCCTCTCACTGTGATTTCACCCGTCTTTGTCTAGAGTGAACTGAATGCTCCAAAGAAGGTGGAATCTGAGGCTAGGGAGGTTTTAAAGGACACAGATTTCTCCAATGGCAGGTTTATTAAAATAGTCCTCCTACTTGAAAGTGTAAACGGAGTTCATCAAGACTTATAAAACAGGACGGTGTTCCTACGGACAAAGAATTGAAATGTCTTCAGAGGACTCCTTTATCTCTGCCACAATATTCTCTAAATAGGAAAAGAATAAAGTGAGCTGTGTGCCAAATGGGGGCAATAGGTGATGCTGGTGATGTCATAAGAAGTAAGTGAGATGTGAAACACCACTAAGTCTATATAACCAAACCCTTGATACTGACGTGAGCTGGCCTGCTTCAGTCCAGAGACCAGTATATGTGGTTTTGACTTGTCTGGCTCAAATAGATGACTTAAAATGTTTCCTTAGCCTGAGGAACTTAGCCATAATTAAAGTGGGCAGCCATCTGTATATAAATTTCCAGGCTCTGTACCTCTTTCAACCCAACCTTCCAAAGTAGCAGAGCAAACAAAAGAAAGTGAAGAGGGCATGGCACCTTGTCTCCTGAGGAAAGCTCTGTGGGTCTCAAAATCCCAGACTGAGATCCAGAGCACAGCATGCTGGTGGGAATGTGCAGGCAGAGCCTCCAAGTGTGTGGCCTGATGCCCTGGGTCAGAGAGGAATCAGAAAGAGAGAATCACCAAGGGAGAAGTCTCTTTCTCTACCATGGTCCAGAGTTAATCCTTGGCCCTCAAGCTTCTCTCTGGCTTCATAATACAGCCCTAAGTTAGCTTCAAGACCCCAGGACTTTATAATGCTGTTTTTATTATGATAGAAATGAGTTCTTTCCCAAAAACTTTTGTTTTCCTAAAGCTGGTAACTATCTGAGCAGAGCCCATCATTGCCTGGTCACACAGGCACCTCTACCAAAGACTGAGTCCCTGAAGCTCCCAAGAGACTGTGGAGGAGCTGGGGTTCTTAAGCAACATTTCCTGAGGCAGGTGCTAGAGGGTCCTGGTGTACAAACACCGCACCAGCCATGGCCGCTGCCCTCAACAAGTGTGCAAAGAGACCAACGATCAAATAAGTCCCTATCCTTACTGAGTAGACATTTTTATCTGGAGTAAGTAGATGGTTGAAATATTGAACTAATCAATTACAGAGTGTCTACTGGCTTGGTGTAGGTGATCAGAGAAGGTGATAAGTGGGAGAGAAAGGAAGACTAATCCCTTCCTCTCACCCCTCCCCCAGGAAACCCCATATGTAAATTACCTGAAAATGGCAGTGCACTGGGGGGCAGGGGTTAGCAGAACTGAAAAGAAGTGCTGGTCAGCATGGACTGTGGGAGGCTACTTGGGAAAGCATGGAGGAGTGATGTGCGGGGTTCTCGGGGTTGGTTTATGAAGTAAGGGGAAGGAGGTTTGTAAAGAGCGCTGTAACTCAAATCGGTGAGCTTAGACTCAATCAGAGGAATGGGGCTGTTAAACAAGTGGGAGAGGCCGGTATGTTTGGGCACCCTGGCACACTCACCCAGTGACAACATCCCAGCAGAACTTTATCTCTATGTCCCCATGATGAAGAGCGTTATCCTATGTGTGTCAGGTCAGACACACGTGTGTGTAAGTCATGGCCAGGTGGAGACACTCTGCAAACATCCCTGTGGATTCAGGTTGTGGGACAGAGTGTGCACAGAAGGCAAGGTCCCCTTCTACATGCATGCACCAGAGTAGAGATACTTCATATTAAAAAAAATTTTTTTGCTCACAGGGAACCATGACACAGCAGGAAAACAAAGTAATTTTGAATTTAGACTTAGAAGAGGAAAAATTCAGTCTAGATGCCCCAGGGAGCAAGCCACATGACACTACACAGCACTGAGGGCCCAGGCTCCTGCCCTTGAGCTCCCAGCCAGCTTCCTTCCCCCCAAGATTGACTTTCTCATATACTGGTCACCCACCATTCATTCCAGGTCAAAAATCCAGTGATCCTTTCCCTGGACCAAAACCCAACCTGCAAGCTCAAACCTAGCTCCCCATCATGGTGGTTTCCCATTCCTGATAGGGGTGGTAAAGGAAATGTTCATGGGACCGTTGGACGCCCGAGGTGAGAAGGAAATGTCATCCAATTTAAGTCGCTGAGTGGGAACGGAGTCTGTGCCCTCCATGAGAAGAGGTCATACTTTAGAGAATTCCACCTGGCTTCTTATGTTGAGGTCCCACCTTCAAGGCCAAGCCAGCTAGGTAGTCACCATGTGCTCAAGGCAGAAGCTACACTATGTCTACAGGATTTGCCAAGGCTAGACCATTACCTTGCCCCTGTGCAAAGCCTCCTAGGAGAAACAATGACTAAAGCCCTGCCCCCTAGGCCCGGGATCTGGCATTCCAATGTGTCGGGGGGGGGGGTCCCTCTGTGGCTATCAGTCCAAGCTGTCTACATCTGCCCTCAAGGGAGAAGAGGTTTCTTAGGAAAGCTCAGGTGTCCTCTCTCTAGCAAGTCTCCAAAGCAGGGGATAAAGTTGGGGGAAAGTAGATTTTTTTTTTTTAATGGGAAAGTCAATTCTACTATATATAAGGCCCAGGCTCAGACTTTAAAACATCTATACAAGTCAAGATTTCTCAAGGTTCATAGATAAAGTAACAAACCCTAATAAAGTATGTTCCCATTCTGAGCAAACATGTCTTCAAGGGGATATGAAAGTAGCCTTCGAATTCAGAAGCCCCAAGGTCTCAGGCTTCCTATCTCTGTCACCATCTCACAGCATGATGCCCCCCCCCCCCACAGGCACTTGGACACCTCAGCACGGCCACTCAGATTCTGCCCACATGACCCTTCTTGAGACATGGTTTACTTAACGAAAAAACAGCTCCGAGGAGCAGACATATACCCCAGGAGGAGGTACGGGAGCCATTCAAATAGAGAATTCTGGAATCTCAAGTAACGTGGACTGGTCTGAGGTGTGCTTTCCAGGGTGTGACCTCTTGACCCCACAGATTCCTCCTCCTCACAGGGAGGCATTGCTAGGGAAGTCCAGGGCAACCCTTTTACCCACAACAACTAAACGTGATAGAACAGCCAAGAGCCAGAAGCAAATTCTCTGTGTCCTCTCGGCCACAACCTGACCTGAATGCTGCAGAAAAACGCATTCCCTTCCGAAGAGCTCGCTCCCCGAGGCTTCCTAAAACCCTCAGTCTTCCTGGGCCAGTCCCCAGCGGGATTCTGGGGCCTCTCTTCACTCCTGGATGTGTCCTTCTAAAGCTCCCACTGGCAGTCACGCGCCCCCTCCCGGTGTCCTCTGGAAGTACACGGCTAGGTCTCTAACAGGTACCAAATGCAGAGAAGGTTCCAGCCCTGCAACCACCACACACCCGTCCCCACCCCACCCCCGTCCCCACCCCCTACCCAACCTGGGCAGGAAGGGACTGGCGAGCTGGACGAAGTTAGGTTTCCCCAGAGTGAGAGATACCCACTTGCTCAAAGCGCTGAGCACCCGAAACCCAGAGGTCAGGGCGAAGGTTAAAGTTGTGCAGGAAGGTGTATGTTTTTTTCTTGTCATTTACGACTCTGATGATGGACTCACGTTGCCCGCTCTTCCCTTTCTCTTACACCTTTCCTACTAAAGGAGGAATCCTTGCTTGGTAAGTGGATGTAATCCGCAAAGACATGAGAGACTTTGTTAGCAGCCACTCAGGATGTTTAGCTACCTCCTCAGAGGGAGAAGGACGCGCACAAATACCTGTAGAGATCTTTTTTTTTTTTTAATTGTTACTGTTATTTTTGGTTGGTTGGTTTTCAGTCAGACTAGAATGACTTTGCCTTTATTTTGCCCCCTCCCTCTCTTGATCCCTTCAGTTGGAAACTGTTCAAATGTCAGTTTGCGACCTTGACTTTATTTTATTTTTTTTAAGAAAGAAAAAAAAAGAAAGAAAGAAAAGAAAAGAAAGAAACCAACCCTCATCTTTATTTCTTTGACCCATGTGACATTTGTTCAGGGTTTTATTCAGGCAACTTTTTCTTAAAAAAAAAAAAAAAGACAGAGAGAGACAGAGTTAGTTGAAGATGATTTTGGTTAAAATTCAAATTTTTGCCTTTATCTCCTTTTGTGCTTTTAATTTCTAGCATATAATTTTTGAAGCCAGTAGCCCCTTTTCTTTTTTCTTCCCCTCCCCCATTCCTTCGTTTTGATTATTTTTTGAGGTTAAGGGTGTCTACAGCCCTCCCCTTTCTGTTGATTTGTCTCTTTTGTTTGAGTTTATTAAAGACTACTTTTTTTTTTTTTTGTATAATTTCCTTTTACTTTTGTTTCATCTAAATCGCATGCCTTTAACCTGCATGACTCCTAAATCTTCCAGTTAATTCTAGCAGGGGGTAAAAAGAAAAAAAAAAAATCTAGAGATCTCCTGTTTCTGTGGAATTCTTTCAGGAATTTGTGCTTTTGTTTTTTGGCGTCTCTTCTCTCCCCTCTCTCTTTGCTTTCGTTACAGTGACTCATGACGGTTGACATTCTTGATTACTTATACACAGCCCGGAGCTCAGCAGTGTCCGACGGGTCTTTTTGCTTTCAGATCTCTGGGTCGGGGTCTGCTGCTGACCTCTTTAGCAAATCAGCCAGCCCGCTCACCGCCTCCCGAGGGCGCTCCCAGGAGTACGACTCAGGCAATGACACATCCTCGCCGCCCTCCACACAAACCAGCTCCGCCAGGTCCCGGGGCCAGGAGAAGGGGAGCCCGGGTGGAGATCTGAGCAAGAGTCGGGACCTCAACTGCGGCAACAGCTCCGATTCAGGGAACTCCTTCACCACCTCCTCCCCGCAGAACAAGGGGGCTGTCTTGGAGAATGTCTCTCCCAGCTGCAGGGACAGTGAGTCAAGGTCAGTGTATTTGAGGGGAGGCGGGTCCCCACTTCAGCGTCACCATTTCACTGTCTCATCACAGTGCCCTGTTCTTCCCAGGTATCTACTCGCAGGAGACAGGGCATGCCATTCCAATTAGCGCGACTAAAATAGATATCCGGATACTAGCTTCAGGTACCAGAGGCTCAAACTGCGCTAACGCGTCTTTATGTTTTGAACTATTCGTCTCGGCTCTGCCCGACAATCTGTTGGCTTTCTTCTCAAGCAGACCCTCCACAAGTTGTACAAGGAGACACAGGTCTTCGCCAACAGAAGAAGAATGCCTCCGCCCTGTCCCCACAAAAATCATGTGTGGTCCTTTGTCCCCCCCAAACCAGTCTCTCTGGCCGAGTGGATCCTGAGCTACAGACTAGAGGCAGATGCCCCTTCAGGAAAAGCCAGAGTGTTGATATCAAGAAAGGGATGGAGGGCAGGTAGACGCCAATTTACCAATAGTCTCAGGGAAAGTGTCATATGAACTTCATTTTAAGTCACTGTCAGTTAAAAACATACCATAATATTTACCAAAATAAACTAAAAACATATTTGCACCAAAAACCTTGCAGTTATATATAGATATATACATATATATACATACACATATACAATTATATATACATACATATGTATATATGTATATATATGTGTGTATATATGTGTATATAAACATATATACATATATATAATTCTAAGAGTTTTATTGGTACTTTCTAGAACTCTGAGGCAACCAAAGTCCTTTAGGTAAATAAACTGTGGTATATCCAGACTCTAGAATATTTTTTAAAATTTTTTAAAGTATTTTATTTATTTTTATTTTGTATGCATTGGTGTTTTGCCTGCATATATGTCTGTGTGAGGCCATTAGATCTCTTGGAACTAGTGTCGAAGACAGTTGTGAGCAGCCATGAGGGTGCTGGGAATTAAACTCAGGTCCTCTGGAAGAGCAGCCAGTGCTCTGAACCACTGAGCCATCTCTCCAGTCCCCCTCCCAACTCTAGAATATTATTTGGCTCCAAAAAAATGTGCTATCAGTTTACACAAAAAATGCACACATATGATTCTAACTATGTAAAATTATGAAGAAGAAAATATGAAAAATTTTATATGGAATATTGGTTGCCATGGGCTGAGATGAATGGATAGATGACAAAAATGTTAGGGCCATAAAATTATAACACATGATGCAATCATGATGGGCAAATGCCTACTGCTTCACCCAAAATCAGCATGGGCCTTTGGGTAATGGTGTGAGGTGTTGGACCACTTTGGTGTCAGGGATTGAGGCCTGGAGTCCCATGCTTTGTACTCAACTGTGCTCTGAAATTAAAAGTGCTCCAAAATAAAATTGATTCATGAAAACACACATAGCAGTCACGGTAGAGTTTAGACAGAGGCTTTTTTGTTTGGTACTGTGCTTGCTACCTGCAATTTTCCTTCAGCAAATACATCTACACATCTGTTTACAAGCCAATGACAATCCCATCATGTCATCACCAACAGGTCTGTCAGTCAAGCAGTCACAGCTAAAGGCAACTGGGGAGGTGGCTCAGCCATTGAGATGCTTTGCCAAGCAAGCAGTGTAAATGTAAGGTGAGCGTGATAGCCTGTCTGTAGTTCTACCCTCAGGAGGTAGAGACAAGGGGACAAGGGATCCCCGGAGTGAGCTGCCTCGTAAAGCTGGGCTTATCAGTAAGATCTGGATTTAATTGAGAGACCCTGCCTCAGAGAAGAAAGAAGAGGGTGATAGAGGAAGATTTCTAGCATCAGCTTACACCCACCCAGCGACACCCACATTCATATACACATGCACACGTAACACACATAAACACAAAAAATAAAATAAGTCAACAGAATGCTAACCACTAGATGTGATCTCGTAAGAGTCATTGTTTAAATTCACTGGCCCCTTAGTCCACACGGTCCATTCAGTTTCTTCTCCCTCAGCTTCTTACCAAACACACTCTTATGGCAGCACTCAGCTTGATGCTAGGTGTGGAAATGGCAGGGCCCCCCTCTCCTGAGTTTATAATTCACTGCGCAGATACACAAGTAGGGGGAGCTGGCTAGTGCACTGGGGCTTTCTTCCTGCTGGGGATTCAAGTCCGCTTTGATCTACGTGGCCAAAATTTCCAAATGGTGGCCTCACACAGCTCAAGCATGGACAAAGCTGCCAGTGTCTTCAAGGACAGAGAACCCTTTGTCTATAACACAAGACCTAGCCAGGCTTCAATGTGGACAAACATCTTGGGGCTGTGTGCCGCCTAGCCTCTGGTTCACTTTCTCGGGAACATCCTTGCCTGGGAGCCAGAGCTGTGTCAGTGCAAATGTCAGCTTCTCCAAGAGCAGACAATGAAGCTCCCATATGGGAGAGGAAGGCTGTCGAGTATAGACTGACACACTGAAGTGCTGTGATTCGGAGGAATAAAGAGAGAAGGCAGCAATAATAGTAATAATGATAAAAGTATTGGTATTAATTCATTTAAAAGCCATTAGTATCTACTGAGCCAGATAACATGCTAGACACTGTGAAAAATGCGTCCCATGAACAGTTCTCAGCTCCTATTAACGTCTTCGCGACGGGCACTATTATAAGCTTTTTGTAAACTGATAGTGAAACGGAGGAAGAGGCCCGCAGACAAACTCAGCTAATAAGCAGCAGGAGCAGCATTCAAATGCAGGCCTGCCTCTAAAACTGGATTCCAAGTCCAAGAGATATACAGCCATTACCTGCTTAATTTGATATACATAGACAGCCAAATTAAATAATTTAAAACCGGCCTTTCACTGTGGAATGTAAATGATGGTGAAATCATGGGTATTTATGCCCTGCCAGCTATAGACAAAGGGCTCAATAAATATGGGCTGAGCACAAGAGATATGAGCTGGAAATCAAGGGCACCACAGACATGAAAGGAACCGGAGAGGTGACAGGGTGTTGCCGCTAGACAGAGGCAAGTTTGGAACTCCGAGTGACCTTGAGCACGTCATTCCGAGCCTCCTCCTTAATTTCGTCATAACAGTATGGCCAGGCACAGAATGTTACAGAGAAGGTTAAATGAAATGATGGTCGTGAAGAACCCAAGACACAGGGAGGATGACGTAAGGTGACACCTGACAAGCCATGTGTGGAAGACCGAGAGTCCAGACGGCACAGGCCCTTTCCCCGGTGAGCTCAACATCCACGGCAGAAGCATGGCATCACATGACCGAATGAGTCTAGTAGGAGTGAGAGGAGAGTTAGGCAGAAGGTTCCATGGCAACACAAAGGAGACCCTCAACCCAGACTGGGAGTAGAGAGACGGCCTTAAAAGGCTCTTCAGAGAAGATGGGGTCAAGCCAGAATCATGTGTAAGAGAAATGGACTAGGAGACAAGAAGAGAGAAGAGGAGCTCAGAATTCAACATGTCCTAAGGCCTGGAAAGAAAGGACAGAATAGGACATTTTGTTCGGGATGGAAAAGCTTGTCAGGGTCAAGAGCCAAGATGAGAAAAGTGAACTGAGGTCATCATGAATCTAGAAAACTGTATCAATACAATTGGAAGTTGACTGTTGAACCTGACTCTTGTTCATCTTCAAATAAACATGTCTTCATAAGGACCTCAGGAGGAGTTCTGTACATCCCTAGACAAGAAAAACCATAAGACAAAGACCTCCTACGTTTTGTCTGATTGTGTTTGAGGGTCTCTCAATCTCTCTCTCCATCTGCAAAATGGGCTACATCAAAGTTACCCAAACTAACCATGGGTCACCTTATTTTTAAAAAAAAAACTGTATGTTCACACTGGTCTGTTAATTGTATTTAACTCTGCTCAGTTACAGTTCTCTGCTCAGGGCCCCGACCCCAAGGCCTGTTCCTTTATCTTGGGAAGATTACAAAGTGTTAGGGAGTCATGTGTCCACCAGCCATGTGACCCTGATCAAATTACATCATCAGCTCTCTGCCTTTGTTTCCCCATTCATAACCTAAAATTAATAATGGTTCTCAATCCTAGGATATGTTGAGGATTGAGCCACATGCATTTCCAGTTTAATGCCTGGCACATAATAAAATGTATAATAGTCAGAGCTAACACTTCCAGTATGCTGGCTACTGTGTGTGCGCGCACGCGTTTACATATTCATATATGCTTATAAATATACATATGTGTTTTATATATTTATGTACGCTAGGTGATTTAATCTAATTTAGATTTACAACCAACTCTGTAGGGTCGGTACTGTTACCCCATTTTGCAGGCAAGAAAACAGAAGCCTAGAGTAGTGGAATCGCCTACCCAAGATCACACAGATAACAAGTGTCCGGAACAATAGGCATTCATAAATAACAGGGAGCTGTCCATATTCTTCTCCACTACTGAAAAGGGAAGGGATTTCTTTCTCTGGTTAAGGGCCAGGTTCCCTTAGTGCTAAAAACCCACTAGCACGCAGCCAGGGCTTTTTCTCATTCATGCAATCAGGACTGGACGAGGACGAGAAACGGGGAGGGAGGAGCCTCTCAACACATGATTTGATGTTATTTACCACTGTGGCCACAGGGGCCTCCTGGAATGCCCCGAAGTGGCCACTGTCCTGTGTGGTATGTGCCCCTGCCTGGGGGATGCCGAACTGAACTAAACATCTGTCTATTTGTGAGGTCTTTTCTAGCTCTGCCCTTCTAAATTCTGTCAGCTGGCAGTTCGTCCCAGGGAGGAAGGAGGTGGAAAGAGGAGTTGCGGACACTCTGGCCCAGGCAGATGTGGTGGGGGGAGCACCTGGTCACGCTGCCCCAGAATAAGCTAGGTAACAACGATGTTCTCCTCCCTACAGAGGCTTTCAGTCTCCGTGTCTACAGTGTGCTGAGGTGAAGAAGTCTAGTTTGGTCCCATCCACAACCAGGAGCTCCCCCATCAAAGAGTGCTCCCGGAGCTCCTCCTACACCAGCACTCGATCCTCCAGTCCTTCTTCCCGGTCTCCAAACCCCAGAGCCTCCCCCAGGTACACCCGGAGCCGGTCCACCTCCTCTGAAAAAAGGTGAGTGCATCTTTAACAATTGAGAGTTTTGGTAAATAGAGATGCCCATCCCCCATAGGAACAGGAGTCAGGCTTCACTTTGAATACTTTCTCCAGCCATTACTACTGATGGCCTTGGTAAAGGCAGCCAATATCTCTGAGATCCTGTTTCCTTGTGTGAAAAAAATAATAATAAGAAGAAGAATACATGTCTCAGTGGCCCAATGGCTCTTTCCTGGGGTGAAAGCGCTTAGAACAAGAGGAACATTCATTGTTACTGTTTCTGTTGGCATGGGGATGAGATGAGTATCAATAAACTTCTTCTGCATAAAAAAGTAACCAACATCATCCTTCAGATAAAATGTGTTTACTCAGTTGCTGTAAGTCTGTGGGTTAGCAATTTGTGCTGGGCTCAGCGGGCTGGTTCTGTCCTCAGCCCCCTCCTGTGTTTTTGACCAGATGGTGGGTTGGCTGAGGGCTGGGAATTGAAAGTCATCCAAGGATTAGTTGTCTCTGCTTTGTGTTGTCTCTCATCAACCAGCAGGACTATCTGCTTGTACACATGGTAATGACAAGGAGCGAGAGGGAGAAGGAGAGAGAGAGAACACAGTAATGTACAAGGCTTCCTTCTCAGCTTAAAGTAACATTCCACCCCTCCCGCTGTTCTGTTAGCCATAGTAAGTCAGAAGACCCATCCAGAAGATTCTCCCTTGGTGGGCAGAGTTGTAGAGTTACATTTCAGGGGTTATGCAAGGTAGGGAGAGAATTACACCTTTTTTTTTTTTTAATTCTAACCCCCAATTTCAATAGCCATTAGTATCACATGGTTACCTTAGATTGAATAACTATGTCATGGAACATACAGTCGCAAGATCCCAATACCCCATCTAATACAACCCTCCTGGCCTCCTTGACCCCCAGCTTTCTTCTGCAAATGAAAATTGCCAACAGCAAGCAAGAAGTTTTTTCTCTTCCAAAACTATATAATCAAAATGCGGTGGCATTTTGTCTGTAAGATTTATCAGTGTACATGCAAAAAACAAACTGGCAGGACACTTTCCCAGGGAGAACCACAGTGCACTCCATAGGAGTGAGTCATCCCGTCTCCCACAACAGGGTTAGGGATTGAGATGCATCGCGACGAGATGCTCTTCCCATCTTGTGCACAGGAGATGTAGTCCATCATACTCAGTGGGTGCCTGTAGCTAAACCCTTGGATAAGAACCAAATCCTCTAATGGCATGGCCCATCTCCCTTTGTAACCAAGCACCTGTCTTACACTATGATGGAAGTATGAGCTCTTCTCTCCTTCAGTTACCTGGGGACCTCTGTTCTTGCCACAGATCTCAGCACACCGCATCTGTTTGTTTTGTCTTGTCTTCCTTTCTTACTGAATGGGGATGCTTACCCTCTAGCTAGGTAGATGCATGTCTTTGTACCTTTCTGACGTGTGTGGATTACTAGCATCACAACTCTCATACTTGTGAGCCACTTTAAAGTAGGGATTGCTTGCACACAAGCACTCCGATACTGTAATGGCAGATCTGATCATAATAAGGCTACTTAGTAACAGGCAAGGAGCATCTACAACATGGATGACCAGACCAAAAAAAAAAAAAAAAAATAATAATAATAATAATAATCCATTTCTTACGTAGGGAAACAGGACAGCAATGCTCACTATGCTACTCAGAATGATTTGAAATGTAAAAATTGTAAATTACTTGTTTCTAGAACTTTTATTATATATGCAGTGTTCTGCCTACATGCATGCCTGCAGGACAGAAGGGGAAACCAGATCTCACTATAGATGGTTGTGAGCCACCATGTGGTTGCTGGGAATTGAACTCAGGACCTCTGGAAGAGCAGCCAGTGCTCTTAACCTCTGAGCCATCTCTCCAGCCCAAACTTTTCACTTCTTAATTTTTTTTTTTCCAAACCGTTCTTGAAGTCATAGTAAAGCAAAACCATGGGTAAGAGGGGAGGGATTGCTGTAATCTACAAAAGGCAAAAGTACTTTGTAGCCAGACACTCTTGGAGTCATGTGTCCACCAGCCATGTGACCCTTATCAAATTACATCATCGGCTCTATGCCTTTGTTTCCCCATTCATAACCTAAAATTAATAATGGTTCTTAATCCTAGGATGTGTTGAGGATTGAGACACATGCATTTCCAGTTTAATGCCTGGCACATACTAAAATGTATAATAGTCATAGCTAACACTTCCAGTATGCTGGCTACTGTGTGTGTGTGTGTGTGTGCGCGCGCGCGCGCGCGCGCGTGCGCACGCGTTTACATATTCATATATGCTTATAAATATACATATGTGTTTTACATATTTATGTACGCTAGGTGATTTAATCTAATTTAGATTTACAACCAACTCTGTAGGATCGGTACTGTTACCCCATTTTGCAGGCAAGAAAACAGAAGCCTAGAGTAGTGGAATCGCCTACCCAAGATCACACAGATAACAAGTGTCCAGAACAATAGGCATTCATAAATAACAGGGAGCTGTCCATATTCTTCTCCACTACTGAAAAGGGAAGGGATTTCTTTCTCTGGTTAAGGGCCAGGTTCCTTTAGGAGTCTTGCGCAAAGAAAAATAGTGCCACCTGGGGGCCAGGTGCATAGAGCTTTAAGTGTTGGCACAACGCTAACAGGGGTCCGCAGGCTCCTTAGGGGCTCCTCCCTCTTCCCAGGTCCTACTCTCGCTCTCCCAGCTACTCTTCCAAGTCTGGCAAGAGGAGCCCACCTAGCAGAAGCTCGAGGCCTCGTCGCAGTCCCAGCTATTCCCGCTACAGCCCCAGCAGGTACGGTCCCATCTCCCAGACTGGATGGCAACTCCTGGGCCACACCCTTTCGCTCAGATCCTATAGTTCGGCCTCGCCTCTCTGTACCAGTCTCCCAAACCCTGTCCTGTCTCTAGCCCTGCGGAAGTAGGGACGGGAATCCTTGCACTCCCTTTTGTCCAATCAAGAGTGACAACAAGATCCCAATACTCTCTTTGTCCTACTGTCCTCTCGTACCCACGTGCTCAGTCTCCACGTGACCTGATGCTTTCTCTTGCCTCTGTATTCACGGCCCCGATTCTTGCCCACCCCTTGGCTTTCTAATATGTTCCTCCTCACCCACCAATGTTTGCGCCTCTGCCAAGGGACACACACGCACACTCACACGTAGAGAGACCACCACTCTTGCTCATGTCCAGCTCACCCCATGCTGCTCACCTAAGCAGATTCTTTCAAAGGCCATCTTCCTTTCTCTGTCTTCTCTGCGGCCCTTGGGAAAGCCCAGCCTCAGTGGGGTGGCAGGGAGAGCTAAGAGTCTCACTTAGCTCACTTAGAAGTGCAGGCAGGCACTTTCAGAACAACCAGCCCAGCTCTCCTTACCTAGTAACCTGCACCCCTTCAGGGAACGGGACCCCAAGTATGGGGAGAAGGAACCGCAGCCCCGAGAGCGAGCGCGCAGGAGGCGAAGGTCCTACTCGCCAATGAGGAAGCGCCGGAGAGACTCCCCAAGTCACCTGGAGGCCCGGAGAATAACCAGGTGAGACAGGAGGGCAGAGATCGCCTGCTGCCAAGCTTCTCCCCGCTGCAGGTATACCCATACAGGCGCTGGGGGCTGGCTAAATCTTCTTTTGCATCCCTGAGACTTGGATTTAAGGATGGGGGTGGGGCTCCATAATGTCCTTTCCAACCACTGAAATGGTGTTTGGGGGTTCAAAGCCTTTCCCTAGTTTGGAATCTTCATGGAGTTTCCAGTCTGCTAGGCATGCAGTGGGGAAGGGACCTGAACAGCCTGTGGACAGAGCTGGAGACTGGAGAAAAAACAATGGCCAATTTGAGGGGTACTGTGTAGCCTAGGGGGTGTCCTGGAGGCTAGGGACCCAGCTAGAGCTGGTGAGCTAAGAGGAGAGGCCAGGGAATGGGGACTCAGGCCACGCCAGGGCAGGGCAACGCATTGTCCTGATGGAGAAGCACCACCTCAGTGGACATCGTACTTCTCATTAGCATTCTCAGATGCCAGGTTAAAATTCAACTACTCTCGATGATACCGATACCTTGAACCAAGTTCAGATAGTGCAAATAATATTACTGGGATTCCCAAGGACTTAAATGAGTAAAGGGAACATCACCAGATTTTGAGTTCCAACCAGGTTCCCCAGGGAACCTAGAGTCTCTGCCTCTCCTCCAGGCCATTTCCTCACCCACACAACTCGGCATAACTCCCAGGAGTGTCATGTGGATGCAGGGACGTGGCCTCGCTTTGTAAATCTAAACTCGGGACACACTGTGTTCTATCATTATTGACTGAATAGTCAGGGAAAAAAAAATGGAAGATGTGACCTGTGACAGCTAAGGTCTCTGAGGAGAAAAGCTGTTGGCAGAGAGTGCAGAGGCTGGGAGAGAAATTGAATTTCTCAGGCCCTAAGAGCTGGAAGAGTGGCTGGATGCCACCCCTCCCTCCAAGCTAGGTTATCTTCCCAGACATCTCTCTCACCCCAGAGACCCACAGGGATCCTGGAAGCCCATTGTAGCCTCTCCCAGAGTACACAGAACAAGGGCAGGGGCCCAGGGTGGTGGATGGAGTTGCCTGCCCAAATAGTTCCGGAATCCGGTCACCCATGAGCATCCTCGTCACCGGATGGTTGTCCACGCTGCTGGCTGACCGATCATGGATGTGTTTCATTTTCTTAAAATCAATGCGCCCTTTTTCATCATGCTTCCCCACCATGCACGTATGTGGGCCTATGTGCAATGATGTGTTACAGTAAGTGGAAAGCCGGCCTTGCCCTCCTAGAAATAGAACCTACTAGAAATAGAAGTTTCCAGTAAAAAAAAAAAAAAAAAAAAAAAAAAAAAAAAAAAAAAAAAAAAAAAGTAAAAATAGCAAAACAAAACTTCAGTTAAAGCGTCGATGCAGACACTGTTGCAGGCTGCAAACTCTGAGCCCCAGGCCTGATTTGTTGATATTTTCCCCCTTTTTTAGTGGCATTATTGCTTTTTCAGGAATAGAGAAGCACTAAGCCAGGCTTTCTCTTTGATCTCTTAACTATGAGATAAGAAGAGATGGAGGAGTTTGTTATTTTGTTGGGGTTTGGGGTTTTTCTGATTTGCTTTTTTCCCCCTAAGAGACTTAGGGATAGAACGACATTCCTTTCCCTGGGGCTCCCTGGTTGCTGAGCCCTCATGCTTCCTATCTCTGGTCTCTGCAGTGCCCGCAAACGCCCCATCCCCTACTACCGACCCAGCCCCTCCTCCTCCAGCAGCCTCAGCAGCGCCTCCTCCTGGTACAGCAGCAGCAGCAGCCGCTCGGCCAGCCGCAGTTACTCCAGGAGTCGTAGTCCCAGTCGGAGCCGCAGCCGGAGCCAGACCCGGAGCAGGACGCGGACCAGCCGCAGCTCCAGCTCCCGCAGCCTCAGCTTGGGCTCCCGGAGCCGCAGTCGGAGTCGGAGCCTGAGCTACAGCTCAGCAGAAAGCTATGCCAGCACGAGGCGCTAGGCAAAGGCCCTCCCTCGATCCAGCTGCCCACCGGGAGGACCTCTCTGTACTCTCTGCCAGTCTCCTTTACTACCTGACCTTCATACCGTCTCCCTGGTGACAGATACAGAATACTCCTGGCTCCTGTCTTCCATGCTTTCCTGGGAAGGTGGGATGAGATACAGGGACTTCTATTCCTTTGCCAAGCTGCAGAGGAGCCTCTCCACCAGTACCATCCCGGGGCTCACCTGGGCGGAGGGAAAGGGCCACCTGTGGGAAGGTACGATCCATGACTCAAAAGTGCGAAGATATGCAGAGACAACTCTGGTCCACTCACCCACCACTCACAGAATATTTCGTGATATTCTGCCCTCCTTCTCCCTTCATTCTATCTCATGGCTGCGCATTTCGGACCCAGTGTTGGGAAGAGAGGAGACCAAGGGTGGTTGAAGCCCAAGACAAGATCTTGGAGCTTTTGCCTCCAGCTCCTGGGTCCGAGAGAGGTGAGACAAGAGCAGGGAAGGTTAGCGTTGCTAGTGTCCAGGGCAAGACTGGAAATGGGCTCTCTAGTTATACCTATGCGTCATCCCCCTCCTAGTATGTCAGCATGGTCAGAGAAGGGAGCCCAGCACCTTCCAGCTCTGTGGAGGCCCTCATACAGGGCCCTGTGACCCCACAGGGATAAGGAGACAGTCAAACAGTCAGCATACCTTGGGCTACAGCCCCAGTTCCCAAGTTTGCCTCATCCCCAGTTAGCTGGCACCAGTGTGATTCCACGGGACCATCTGCAGAGCATTCCCAGTGCTGTGGCTAGCAGCCAGCCCCCAGCGCCAGCCAGTCTGCCCTTGCCCTCCAGTTGGCGCCTGCCAGCCCCCTCCACATTGCCCAGACTGCCACACCCTGGATTCTGCCAAGCATAGCCTGGCACCTGCTGTCCCACATGAAGACCACTCTCCTTGCCTCTCAGGAATTTTGCCAGGATAGGACACTGCATGTAACTCACTGTTGTGGGGGGAGGAGGGGGACTCAAGTCCGGAGAGCCTGTGACAGAGGAACTTGAGGGGTCCCTGTCATGGCCCCCTGATAGCTTCTGAGTTTGCTGTCAGCTTAGGGAAGTCCAATCACACTTAGGGAAGTGCCCTCATCCTACCTTCCTCCGGCCCGGGCTGGCCAGCAAGGGTAAGCTGCCCTCTGACACACACATTCCATGAGGTGCTTTGTCTGCAGAAGATATTGGGAACGGGCAGGTGAGAGAGATGGTCCTTAAAATAAACCCGTGGGCATCCCTCCTCACCAGCTGTCTGGCTTTCCAGAGCCTGTGGGTGTCAAGTTTGTGATGACAACAGCTGAGCAGGCCAGGGCACACGGGGAAAAGGTTCTTTCCCATCTGTGGACAGTGAAACACCATGGATGCAAGGACAGGCGACACTATTTATCCCTCATGCTCCAAGATAAACATTGGGGGTGGGGGAACTCCCATCTTAAAAGCAGTGATCTTTCTACAACAATAGTCTCTAACCTATCACGGTGCCTGGAGCTCCAATGAGCACCAGTGGAGTTCTTCATCCAGTAGGAGAGGAATGGGGGATCAGTGGCCACACTGGCTTTCCCACCATGGCTTTTAACTCTGCCCAACAAGACTCGTGGATGCCTATGTTGAAAGCACGAAAGGCCAGGTTGCAGGTGCCTGGCACAGGAGTAGGTGCCCTGGGAAGGCATGTACAGCAACTGTAAATAACCCTCGTCCCCACCCAGGATGCCAAAGGAGCTGCATCTCTGTCATGGAGACAAAGGCTTCCAGGAGCCACCAAACCTCCTCAGCTTGTGAAGACGGGAAAGCATGTCGGGAAGACACGGACTATCTTCATTCAAACCACTCTCGGGGACTATTTGGCCTGGGGCTCCTAGCAAACTTTTTTATTTATTCAATTTATTTATTTTTATTTATTTATTATTTATGTGATGCGCTCCCTTTCTCGTCATTAGCAGTATTTATTTATTTATTTATTTATTCAGAGAGAGAGATTGTGTATCATGATGTGTGATCATGTGTGTATTTGGCAGGATGGTCTTCTAAATTATTTGTGCATTTTAAAAAAAAATCTCGTTGCTATGGTTACACCCGGAGAGGCCAGAGGCATCTGGGTCTTTCCCATGAATGCTCTAAGACCTGAGCATCCTGAAACTGAACCAGAAGAGCATGAGTCCCAAGGTTTATTGTTCAACTTGATGCCAGTGAGGCTCAGGCTTGTACACCCGCTGATCTGCAGTATCAGAAAGATGAGGTCAGCCACAGAGCTCATGAACCTAAGTCCAGGGCGAGAGCCTGACATTAGCATTTAGAGAAAAGCTACACAAAATTTTAAAAGCCATGAAGGACTCGCTGAGTGACTGCAAGTGCCATGTCTTGGGCGGATGGCCAGTCTTCGGTGGCATGCATAATAGAGCCATCCCTTGTGATTGGGGAACCATGTGGGTAAGAATGGTTTCATACTGGCATGGTTCTTTCGGACAAGGTGTCAGCCTCATGAGGTTTGACTGATGCTCTGACATCTGGAAAGAAAGGTAGGAATGGGCTAGCCTAGGGAAGACATTGTGCTCAACTTGATGTCAGCGGAAGGCATTCACGTCTTCCTGTGAGCAAAAGTGGGCCGTTTTGTGTAAGCTACACTGCTTCTCCTCCGGGTATCTAGCTCCTCCCCCCAGCTCTCAGCTTTTGAGATTGGAAAGCATCCCTGCTTTGTGTTTTCCTGCAGTAGACAAGCACTGTTTTGTGACGAGGGCATGAGCCATGGGGGGGGGACCCACAACCCAAACCAAACCTCCTTTCGCTGTTCCATTGAGGATAGCACAAAGCTGCTTCTGAAATTAGAAAATAAAGATACAGATGGAAGGGACAGCCAGATGTCACCCCAAAAAGGTCATTTCTAAACTCAGTCTGGGATCTCGGACCTGGAGACATTTATCAGTCCTGCCTTCCTGGCCAACTGGCAGTGACTTTCTGGCTGCTGGCTACAGAGAGCTCTTGCCCTTTCTGAAGCCATTCTCCACAGCCTCGTAGGTGCCAGCTTGCCTGGTCCTGTAGATTCCCCACCACACCCCTGGATGTCCCCATCAATGTGGCTGTCATGTTTTAACCCAAGCAAGGGGATAGTCTTCCCTTGGGACTAGTTTTCAGAAGATTGTTTAGATACCTCTAAACAATCCACTCTCTTCCTTATAATCCTCCTCTTCCTATTCCTCCTCCTCCTCCATCTCTCTCTTTCCCATTCCTGCTTTTCTTTCCAAGCAAACATAGAATTCTTTCCAGGACACTGATAGCCTTGGTTAACCAGAACCACTAAACCCAGGTATATCTACCCACTTTACCCTCGTTACTTTCTGTCTCTAGGGAATAAGAGCTCTTGAAAGTGGTTCGTAGCTATGCTTATACAGTGGGTAGCACTCTGTGTTACCAAGGCCGTTCAGGGTGAGGATTTAGTTCAACCACCAACATCAAAAATGGGAAGAGAGTATAGACTGAGGTTAAGCAGCATGTTACCCAAAGCTCCTTGACCTTGGGTCTCGGTCTCAGAGAGTCCTATCCCTACATTTCTCAGACCCGAAAGGGTTTGCTTAAAGAAGTACAAATTTGGGGTGCTACCAAAGGTTGAAAAAAGCAATGAGTTATGTCTTTCTCAAGGCCAACTTGCAGCTTTTTTTTTCTGATGCCGTGTTTTTCTTTTTCTGTGTTTTTCTTTTTCACTGAGGGTGAAATCCTCATGCACACTCAGCAAGGCTGTAGCAAAGGAGCCTCACCCTCAGCCCTCTGCTAGATTCCCTTGTTCTGAATAGTCTCATGGCTAATAGTCTCACCTTGGCTTCCCCTCTGCTGAGTAGAAAATTTGATTTGATCATCTATGACGCATGCCCTTCTCCACCGGTCAGCCCACAGAGACTCTCCGGCCTGACACATCATCGGCAAGGCTTTAAAGAAGGCTATTCTCTGTTCTGCACTGATGAGCTGATGACATTCACACCATGGTCACCATCTTCTATCTGTAACTGTTTTTTTTTTTTTTTTCTCTCTGTGTATTGGGGTTTTTGTTGTTGCATTGTTCATCTTTGTTTTTCTTTCGTGAGTGGTTTTGTTTTGTTTTGTTTTGTTTTGGCAGTTGTCATTTTGCACTGTAAATACCATGATGTGAGCCTATCCTCAGGACACGGCTTATTTAATAATTTATTATTTTCTATTTATTGAGTGGTATTGGGAAGGGAGGGGGAGCAGCCCTCCCACTGGGTTGCTACTGGAAACTGGTCCATCTCTCAGCTCTGGGTGCTGCTGTAGTGGGGTATTATCACCCAGGTAACGATTGCTGGATTCACCAGATGAGTTGGAACTGTCAGAAACAGAGGCTTCCGTCATACAAATTAAATTCAAATGGAACCAAAACACTCGTTATCTTCGGAAAACCTCATGTAGGTGGAAATGAATCGAGGAACTCAAATGCCTGTACACAAACCAACTTCTATTAAAAAGTCACAACTTAAAAAACACAGAGAATCCTTTTTCTCTAGCCATTTTTTGTTGTGTATAACAAGCCGAGCCAAAGAGAAAGCAGCAGCGTTCCTTTGCGCTTCCCTTCCTCTGGGGAATAAAAGCAATGGGTCTTGGGCCTCAGTCTTATCATCTGTACAGTGGACTTGGCCAATATGTTCTGGGGAGGGCAGGGGGAGAGAACTCTACTCCGATGCCGTGGGCTCCACCCTGGGGATTTTGTGGCTGTGTTGTTTGCTGGAAGGATGTCCACCAAGGAAGGAAGGAAAAGGCTTATTCTTCCCTGTAGCGCAAAGTTGGAAGAGCTGAGTTGCGGGACTCGAGGTGATGTGAGTCTTAGAGCCTGAGTCCAAGGCTTCTGTGTCCAGTGTAAACTCTCCAAGTCCAGTTTCCGGGAGTCATGATGGCGGAAGACAAAGTAGCTCTACCCTGTCCTGATTCTAACCATTGTCTGTTGTCAGGTCGTATCTTCTAAAATTATTCTGATAAGCCGGTGATAAAGGTGCCACTTTCCAGATGAGAAAGCTGAGCCCATGGAAGGGAAATGTCAACCCCAACTCCTAAAAGTGTCATCTGCCTGCCTCTGTGTCCTTTGTCCCCATCAGTGGGTCTTTTATAGGGGACCTAAGCTGTAAGGACTCTGTACTGGGTCTTTCTTTTTTTTCTCTCAACACTAAGCTATTTCCTCAAGTGGCCAACAGCCAAGGACCTAGCTGATTCTGTCCCCACTGACTCAAGGGATTTGGTGCATCTCAAAACCACTTCTCTACATTAAGGGCTGGGACTTCCCAGATGGAAAGTCCCAAAGCAGAAGACCCTAACTATCCCAGCTCAGTCTGACCATGCAGTATCTGCCCAGAAGGTCTGCCTGTGGGGGAGGGGAGGAGAGAAGGAGGATGAGAGGGAGGGAGAGAGAAGGGGGAATGCTGCTGTGTCCTCCAGCATCCTGGGAGCCTGTCCTCTGCCCAGGGTTACAGTAACCACAGCCCACTCTAACCTTCCCAGAACTTCCAGGTTTTCAGTGTAGGAGCCACATCTCTGTTCTAATTAAAGATCCATGGAATAGCGCTCTCGTATGTGGCTCAGTGTCTTCTGTGTGCAGGATGTTCAGAGAAGGAAGACGGGTGACAGGGAGCCCTCGAAGCCCACCTGCTGTGTCACACACACACACACACACACACACACACACACACACACATGGCTCAGTGCATTTATTCAGTTTCCCCAACAGACCTGTAAGCACTTAAGTTGTTTTAACTTTTGTGTGAGTTTGTGAGTGTGTGACGCACATCCAGAGGCCAAAGGATAACTTCAGCTGTCATTCTTCGGGTGCTGACCAACTACTTTTTGAGATGGAGTCTTTCCCTGATGGCCAATGAGCCTCGGGTATTAGCCTGATTGTACCTCCCCCATCGCTGAGGTTACATCTGTGGGATAGCATGCCCAGCCTTTTTAAAGTGGGTCCTGGGCATCAAATTCAGTTCCTCACATTTGTGAAGCAAGTGATTTATCAATCGAACCCCCTATTCAGCCTGGGTTTTGATACCCATGCTACCCAGATGGCAGCATCTACACATTCCCCCAGGAAACCTATTCCAAATCATCTCTTCGAACACCTCATCTTAGTCTTCTTCTGCAGCCCTAATGTTAGACTTCCTTCCTAACAAGACAGAGACTGAAGCTTGGAGAAAAACAAAGTCACTTGTCCGAGAGCATCCTAGAGTCTCCAGAATCAAGGATTCAGATAAACAGACTCAGAATCCCAGCTTGCCAACCACTGTCCATAGCTCTTCCTCTTGCTTCATGGTCTGACAAAGGTTTTATTTGGTCCTAAATACCTAGGACACTTCTACTGCTGGCTGCGTAGCGCTGGACAAGGGTCCAGGGGGTCCAGTCACCCTGTAGGTGACTGGTTTGCCGAACTGCAGAATGGGTTAGCAGCACCCATTTCCCTGGGCTGCTATGGGAACAAAAGAAGAACATGGGGGATCCATTCTTTAATTACCTGAAAGGGGGGAGAGCATTTGACTAATGTCAATGAGCAAATTAAATGTCCAGGAGTGAGTCTGTGGTGAAGCAGTGGGAGTGCTGGCCTCAGTACAATGGCGCTAACTTGGAGCACAGGGTTGGGGGAGGGGGTTGGGGGTGTTCCTAGGGCAAACCTCTCTTCCCCTCCTGGGTAGGCTGAGAGCACTCATGGGAGAGGTGGAAATGGGTGGGCTTGGTTGCGGGGATGTGGGGAGCACAATGAAAACAACCAAACTCCCATCCCAGTGTTGTCGCATCCTCCAGCCTTCAAGGGCACCTGTGCCTCAGGTTAAAAATCTTATGGTTAAAATGCTCATAACATCATTTTTCAAAATAGCATGTGAGTCACTATTACACACAGACACACAGAGAGAGAACCAGTTATCCTCACCACTCATCCTGGGTCTTTCCCAATGAAAACCTGCCTTGGGAATCATGAGGATGGAATAGCCTGTCTGAGCAAAATCTGCACCATTACCACCTCCACACACACACACACACACACACACACACACACACACACACACAATGATTTCATTCTTTCAAAATAAGCTGGTTATGGAGCTGTACCCAGTGCCCTTTGCTGAGGCCCTGTAGAGACTAAAACCCATCAATGACTTAATGGTCACCTGACCTTTGAACTACACTTTGGAGTGCTCTATTTGACGGAAGGTACAGTTAAGGCTCCAGAGGCAAATTCACATAACTGGTGGGTATCTGGATCCCGGTCTGAGGGCTCCAAGAGCATTTTTTAAAACTTGTTTTTTGAGTGTGTGAGCCCCACCAATGCAGAGCTATTTCCCACTGCGCCACCCCTACCTCCCAGCAAATGGCTCCAACAAGATGGCTTCTCAGAAAGTGTGGCCTTTAGGAGGCTGCCCCGGTGACTAATGTAGTCACCTCTCCGTGAATCATGGAGAGGCCTTCACCTTCCTATCTCCTGCTCAGACTCCCAGTTACCGGAATCCACGTGTTTATCTAATGATTTATCTGGGCAGGTGCCCTACTCCCGCACCCCCCTACTTCTACCTCCCCGCCCCCCCCCCCCCCCCCCGTAGTCCCAGCTGTCCTGGCTGCAGAGGGAAGAACCCTGCTTCTGCCGAGTCTTCTTTCCTTACCAGCTTGGCAGCTGCCCAAGTCCGGAGCAGAAGAGGCAGCAAGACTCCAGCACGCCTGTATCTGGTGATCTGGAGATACGTGCAGCCTCTCTGCTGGGTAGAATCGATGAAACAATTCAAGACGTGGGTGGAATGTTGGAAAACAAAACCTCCCATGAGATGGAGTCCAGACTCCTGCCCCTCCATTGCAGCATGACGATTTAAGCAAGTCTAGCCTTTCTTTAGGACCGAGCTACTCAGCCTATTAAAAGATGGAGGAGTAAACCAGAGGGTCCCAACCCTATTAAAATCCTCACGAACCATGTGTCTGAGAAAGAATGCCAGGCCCCTGTGCTTCTAGAAGTCTCCCTGGGCTGTTCCGGTATGAAGTCAGGGCAGAGAAACCCTGAAGAAGAGAGCACCCACAACACTGCGGAGCTGAGCAGTGTTCTAGGGTGAAGGACACGCTTACACATGGTGACCATAAAGCCAGCAAGAGGACCACCCAGCATCTCCACGGTGCCAATCAAGGGCCAGGCAGGTATCTGGGAGCCCCACTTATGTCAATGTAAGTTACCCACATACTCATCCCCACCACACCTGCGGGAGGTAGATGCTTGGTTAATGTCAATTTCATAGTTGCAGAAACTGGTGTGTTACAGTGGTTCTAGGTAACACTGGTAGAAAGCTACCCAGTGGGCGTTAGGATGGGCGAAGGTGGAGGGCCTAGCAAGACATCACAGGGGTGAGGAAAGTGTCCTCTAGATGGATGCTGGGTACCGAGTAGGAATGAGCCAGGAACAGAGATGAGGCTAGGGGAGGAGCAGGGTAACCATGCAAGGGGTGGGGTGAGGTAGTGGTTACACCTGCCTGAAGTCAGCCCCTTCCCTCAACTCCCATCCTCACCCCTTTCTCCCCGGGTGTGTTCCTTCCTTCATACTTACTGCTACCTGTGACTACTTCTCTTGTCTGTTTGGTGCTGGTTTCTGAGGGCAGGAGCCTTCCCTGCCTCATTCATTCCCTGTCCCTGCAGGGACGCTATGGCTGGTACTCAGCTGGCTGTCAGTGACCTGGTCTGCCCCTGGCTTCCAGCTCTGCTCCCTCCCAAACCCTGTCCTTTTTGAAGATGATTAACTTATATTGTGGTGTGTGTGTGTGTGTGTGTGTGTGTGTGTGTGTGTGTGTATGTGTGTCTGTGTGTGTGTGTGCATGTATGTGGAAAGGCTGCAACAAGATAGTGACATGTCCACCAAGCAATGCCAATAATCACCTGGGAAAGAGAGAAAAGAACACAGATAGCAGGGACACCTACCCTGGGGCTACAGAATGACACAGATCTTAGAAGGAGCAGCTGGAAGTGAAGACTTCGGCATCAAGAAGACGTGGATATGATTGTGGCTCTCTGACCTCATACCATGGAGCTCAGAGGAGGCGGTGTGGGCAAGGCACTCAGTGGTGCCAGTGACTGACTCAGCGTGGCCCTCTGATGCTGAGGAAAGGGAAGCAGGCGGGTCAAAGGCCTAGGTAAGCTCACAAGGAGTTTCTTCAAGCCACCTAGGCTGGAAGCAAACACTCCTACCTGTCTCCTCACTCAGAAGAATCCAGAGTTTCTAGAGAGCCTGGCTCTCTCTGGCACTCCCCAACCCCCTGGCATTCCATCAAAGCTTTCCACCTGGGTCATTCTGGGCTGTTGTGGGCTGTTTGTGCCTGTCCATCAAGGTGGAACGACAGTTCTACTTTACCACACCCTAAGAGTCCAACTCCACGTGACGGGATAGCCAGGGCCCACCAGCAGTTGGTCGACTCACTTATGGCTTTTCTTTCCACCTTGATTTTCTTTGCTCTGCTGTAAAAACTTGTCCGATGTTCTCTCA